TTACCTTTTGTGCAGAAATCTTCTAAAAAGCAACCTGTCAGGTAATTTAAAAAATTCTTCATATTTTGTTATGAAAACGGATCAGTAACAAAATTTTGTTGAATATGCATAGTATATTTCTCAAGCATATATTTATTGTATACCTTTCCATAGAAATTGAGTCATAAAGAAATGTCGTACTCGTGTAAGATATACCCGCCAAACTCGCATAATTGAAAAGTATATTCGACAAACAGGAAACACGAGGGAAGAGAACGTCAATTTTAGACGACGACTTATTTAGAATGTCGGCTGTTTACTTTATACAAAAAAGCCGCGGAAAGGGGAACAAAGGATAAAGCAGACTGCGCTTTGTCTCTTTAGTATGAAACAGCCTTTCGCTTCATGGTAAATCCAGACTTTCTCGGAACGGGGATGGTGTATTCCGGATTTTTAAGAGGAACGGTTGCGGTGTTCTCAGATCTTTGCAAGTTGTCCAGAAAAATCTTAGAATAACAGCTCGTTCCGCGGGAGCGTGTCCTTCGGCCGCAACAAAGAAACTTTTTTTCCGTGGCACGACAATACCGAGTTACAAGAGGATCGTATAAAAATAGGGAAGTAACATATATAGAATTGTGACTGGTCCATGTACGATAGCATTTAAATAAAAGCTTGTGAAATAATTGAATTATGGAAATCTCATGCAGTTGTTTGAACGTACTTTGTTTTTAATTGCTTTGAAAAAATATGTTAGCTTTTTATTCTTAGTGTAGATTAAATAGTGCATAATACTTACCGGTTAATAACAAAAGTGACGATATTTATATAACAATAAAAAAATCTTATCTTAGAAATTTCTAAATAATCTACCTTCAGTCGTTACAGTGGTGGTGAAATTTATTATTGAAAATTGATAACCTCGATAGAAGTCATCGGAGCTGTCAAGTGAAAGAGTGAATTTAATAAGTGGATATTTGGAATGAAGTGAAAACATATGATATATTAAAAAATACAAGAAGGAAACGTTTAATATATATTTACATGTGCGAACAGTGTATACAACGTTTCTGTTGAAATTAACATTGATTGTGGCTAGAATTAAAAATGTAACTTCATAATCGTGTGTACAATGATTAAACTAATTATACAAATTGGACGCAATCAATTATCTTTTAAAAGTTGCCACGCAGTTGTACGATATTTGTACCAAGATGCTTAACGTATTTATCGGTATGCATAAAAAACTGTGAACCTCGATGGAATCGAATAAGCCCAACAGATGTTAATATAAACTGTACCGCGGTTAGATTATTAGTTCGAGTTCATGTGGACACTTAATTAAAGCGATGGAAAAAAAAAATGTTAAATCGTATAAAATGTTAGCATTTGATAGGCGAATTCATGAACTTACGAAAATTCGTGTTCGATATTCTAATCTTCATTTCGAGCACAGCGATGACGTTAGCCTACGAAACTTTCGGCGTTAAAAATAATATCAACGATTATGATGTGTTCGTTTTCGTATGAGAAATCAAATATTAAGTATAACGATCCCGTACACATACACCATTACCATATGCAGCTTACAACATAATTTCCTCAACATATTATGGACCATTCTTTTCGGTATTAATATAGCTTACGTTAAACGATGATCAAAGAACTGTAGAGAATAAAGCATCGACATTCGTTCCTGACGAAATAAACTAAACGCAGAATGATACCTACAGACCGACGATCACAATGTATGTATACCAGTGTCGCGTGTGCGTGCTGAGTACCCGAATTAACAAAAGTACGTATCAAAAATATGAAAAGCTATATAATATTGGCATTTCGCATTTTTCTTGGCAATCGTAGCCACGATTCTCCCCGTACTTACATTTAGAACCATTTCGATCTTTGCCTTTTACCTTAGCGAAAAAAATCGCTTGTAATTATTGTGCTGTACGTAGACGAACGTCCGCTTTTTTCAAGTCGAGTGCATAAAGTTAACCAAGCGCGAATATAGTGTGAAAGGTACGAGTCGAAAAGAAAGTATTCGATATCAATGTTCAACCAGAACCACGAAAGGCAACGCGCGCCACCTTTGAAATTCGCTGGATTTATTGGTAAACACCGGGAAAACAATTCGTACAAATTTTCAGCTGGATCAGAGCACTCAGAATTTCGAATGTTTAGTGGAATTTTCCGTTCCAATGATTTAAATTTTAATTCTCAAAAAACTAGTCAGCGATTTCCACTGATATAGGACATTTTCAAACAGAAGGCGAATTATTAAACTTATTGTTTGTTGCATAGGTCAGTCTAGGATTATATTGAAGTAATTAACCTGAGTACCTGATGTCTTTCGAGTAATAGAAGAAAATGTTTGGAACAACGATTGCAAAATTTTTTCCGTGTCTTAGTTTGTAAGAAATTTTATACATTTTTTATTATGCCAGTTTCTAGCTTATTATATAGACATTAATTAACACTGGTCCCTACTAATGGTAATCAGAAATTTACAAGAATTGAGAATCATCCATCACTTATAGAATCTATTATAATAAAATTTTCGCATATGTGATGTTCCAGCTTATACTATTACAACTATTATTAAAAACAAATATAAATTACTTTACAATTCTTTATAAAATTGTATTGAAGAAGAAATAATTCGTGCATAAGTCAACTGTGAATTCATCTAAACGTGTTCTTATTAGTGTCACTAATAACCCAAATAAGAGAGAACCCAAACAATGTGACTACAAAAAATGAAGAAACAATTTTTTTTATATAATAGTATCGTTTAATCCATCCACAATATAGAATAATTTCATCTCGGGTATGACTACAGAATATTTAAAAATGTTAAAATAAAACTTCCTACGAAACAATGTCTCAGATCAAGGTTGTTGTGATTACGTAAAATATTAGAGAAAGTTGAAAGAGTTGTTCACGGTTGTCGGAGCTCTGTGAATTTTTATAGCATTCACCCAGTTCCGCTCACCGACTATTAAGTTTATGACTTTTGCAAGAACATACACCCCGACACAGAGAGAACAGAAAGAGAAACAACGAAAGTGGAGAGGAAAGTAGAATTGACTCGGAAGAATAATCAATTTTCACGATAGTCAGAAACATCGAGTTGTAGTTTGAAAATTCTTGCTTCCTCTATTGGTCTACCGATCTGAGAAATATCTGAACTTTAACTCTATGTATTAATTCTATTTGCTCTAAATTCTAAATTAACTCTATGTTTTAAATATCTATTCGATTTACATGCATATTATCCAACTCACTCGAGCAAGAATATTACAAATGAATCAATATTCTAAATGTCCATCACTGGGAATTAAAAATCTTACCGGTTTAATGGTTCAACGAAATATTGTCTATTTAAACAAAATATAATATCACTCGATACCTGTATCATATATATAAATAAGATAACATGGAATCAACCTTGTTCGTGGAATTTTTCTAATTCAATAAAAGTGCAACGAAGCTGAAATTTTGTACGAATTCACTTTACGATGATATTAATAAACACTGGCAGTATAAAGAACACTGAAGATTGTTTGATATCAAACAGTCTGTATAGAACAGACGATTGTAGAATTTCACCGCGATAAAGCCGATGTCCGGTACAATCTAACACGTTACTCAGTATTTTATACTTAATCAAACGAACCTTGTACAATGCTGTTTGTTCGATGCCATAATTATAATTTTATTGTGGTTGTTCGTTTAACGAGCATATCCACCACCGTCCTATATCAGACATACGACGAACGTGTAGACTTGACATCGCGGTTGCTTTTAATCGCCAACGAAATTAATCTATGGCTCCACTCACGCTAAAACCGTTAAAGTTATTTCACCGAACTGTACGAAAAACATTGTGCGTGATCTGTGATTAATTATCAGCGTAGAATTAGCCATAGAGGAATAAAAACACTGTTCAACTTTTGTAAAAACAAATTTTACCTTTAACCCTCGTACACTGTTCGGGACCATTCGATCCAGAACGAAAGCTTGATTTTCATCATCACGTTTTACGTTATAGAAATATATATATATATATATATAAACTAATCTGCCACTAATCATTTACATATATTACAATTCAGTTTAAAGGTAGACACATCATTTCAATTTCATAGTTATAAGGGTTCAGACCAGTGTAACGGTGAAAGAAACAACGAAATTTTTTCTCGTATTTTTCAGTACTTTATTGTCTTAAAAACATGCTCCTAGAATGCTTTTCTTTTAAATAAAATTAAAATAAATCGGTGCAAGGAATATAATTAATACTTTTCAAACTTTAAACGCATTTTTCTCGAACCCGTGTTTTTTTATCTGACATGCAAGATAATTAAAAAAATAATCAGTATTTAGATAATAAAAAATAATAGCCGATCGACTTGATACTTTGTCTCTTTATAGCAGCCCCATGTTATTGGAGGATAAACCGGCAAAGTTCAGAAAAAACATTACAAAATTATGTTTTTCAACAAATTGTATTCAATCTTCAAAGTGATACTATTCTCGCAATTTTCATTAAAAATTTTTGAGTTATGTTCATCTTTCAACTACAAGCAAAGAATTTGTCGAAATATTTGCTCTCTTTTATTTGAGATGATCCAAACTGTCATCGTGCACGTGAGTTACATTCTCAGGAAGATTATACGTTTAAATAAAAAAAAAATACGCAAAGTTAAAAAAAATTCGGTTCATTTGATTTGGCAAAAATAATTCGCGAAAATACGCTGAGCGTTACACTGGTCCGTTTCCTCCATTAAGAGAGTAGTAATGTAACAGGTGTTTGAACAGTACACGATGGTTAAAAAAGATTACCCAAACAACAATGTCTCGAACAAGACGATAAAACAAGAAATTAAAAGCGTATCGTATTTTCCAGCAACATGGACGACCGAGCCTGCCGGTACAGACGATTGAAACGTGAAAACAGTCTTTCAGAAATAGAAGGAGCGTCTCTGGTGAATCTCAAAAGAGTAACTGCGATAATTTGTTGAATTTCGCGAAGGAGGGGGTAGGAGAGGGCGGACTTGGGAACGCGAGTATCGACCTATGAAAAAAGAAATCTTTGCAGCCTGGGGGCAACTATCAGTGTAGTTTTATGTACAATAGTCTCGACCGTGTTTGAATCTGTACGTCGCGGCAGTCACGCTTCCAGCGGCCACCAAAAAAAAGGAGGGTACTTTTCGAACCTGCGCGTCCCGACTGACCGTCCGTTGATTTTCATTTTCCTGCGCCCGGAGTGTCCTTTGTGACACAACAGCAGACGCGTGAACTCTCAGGCCGTCTTTCTCTGCATTTTTTTTTATCCATTTTCGTTCCAGTTTCTATAAACGTCCAACACGGCACAAAAGAACGCGTTGACCTTGGTGCTCGAAACAATCGTCTGTTTCGGGATCGTTCGTCCTATCAAACATGGTCACCCCAGACCGTCACCGTTTTTGCCCTGTCCACCGATGCGAGATAGGTGCCGTGAGGATGCCAAGACACCGCTGTCACCACGGCCCTGCAAGAAACGGTCCAACAAATCAATTAGATCTCATCTCGTTTGCGTTTATTCGGATCGATTTATAGTTGCCGGTAATGGAGCATGCAAGGTGTAGAATGAAGATGCTATAGTTACAGAAGGCAAGGAATTTATAAATGATTTGTAATTGTTACTAAAGTAATGTTTAAGTTTGGTTTATCATGACGGTGGTGTTTGAATATTTATAATTAATTAATTCATGGAATTATATAAGGTATTAATAAAAATGTGTGGACACTTTCAGAGCGTGGATTCTGGGTGATAAAGTAAAACTAAGACAAAAATTAAGATTGATGAAATTGCGTAGAAGCATTTTACGCGTAGTTCGTCCGTATTTTTAACAATTAATAACTCGAAAACGAAGTCTCGAACGCAAGTTTCAACATTTTTGATTTTTGCCTAAATTTGGCTTGTAGAATCTATCCTATGAAAGTGTCCCATATTTACCAATACCCTGTATATTACCGACAAGAAGTAAGTCTTTCTTGTCTTGTAAGTTGGAATAAATTAATTAGTTTCTTCTTCAATGATTGAGTATTCGTTAATGAATAAATTTGCACATCCACGTCCCTGTAAAATATTAAGAAGATACATATCATACGAGCTGATTTCAATATCGATTTAATTTTCAATGTGTTATTTCTCGTTACAGAATTTTAATAACCCGTCATCGATTGTTCAGTTATTCCAATATGAGTAGTCCACATAATAAACGAATAATTTCAATAATATTTTAATAACTGTCTGTCATAAAACATTCAATTTCGGCGTGTAAACAGACCGTTTAAAACGATTTATAACAGACCGTTTAAAAGGTTATCCCTTCCAATCTCATCGATGGATGCAAATAATTATCAACAATTACAATAAATAAAACATTCACTTTATATATGAATATATTTATAGAACGCTGACATTGTGAGGACAGACATAAACGAGCAACTAGAAAGTTATAATTTTCCTATATTCGCTAATATATTCTCTAATATAGCATGAAAAATATAAATTCCAACAAACATGCTTCAATTATATACGACTATGTTCTGAAATCATAACGACTTAAATCGAATATTTTGGAAAACAATAAAAATATCTATGTTAAGGAAATGAGTAAAATAACATTTTTAGCATGTGCTTAATGAAGTATTAATTATTTACAACCAGCACATATTTTCAAATAATTTTAAAAATTACCAATTTCACACCCTGCATGTCACGGACTGTTCTGAGCCCTTCACTCTAACCATTAATTACTAAAAGAACATATTCGGTTGTTACATAATAAATGTCATTTTTAAATTGCAGAGTTTGAACGATTATAAGTTATAATTGATAAACTCTTGCCAACAAGTGAGAAGCTTAACGATTTTAAGATAGCTGAATTGGTGCATTGAAAAATGAGATTTATTATGCGACAACCCAATAAATATTTCCGTAAGAAGTATTAATCAGACATGATTCATGAAAATCAGTGATTATCATTTTTCGTTCATCTCCCACTAAATTCCCAAGTTCGTGGGAACGAGAAACAATAGAAGGACGAGACCGAAGCAGTAAGACATTAGCCTGGAGGCGGCTGTAAGTCGCTATGATTTATGGGCTGAGAATCTATTTTCAGCTCGTAATGGGTCGGTCAAATCGTCGTAACCAATGGTTAATTGTTACAAAAGACCACGGGCTCCCGGTGACAATGTACCGTGTATCGTTATGCAAACTGAGCGTGGGCGTAGGCGGCGGCGGCGAAGATGTAGCCAGCTCCTCGAGACACGCTCGACTGGCACTGAAATTTGAAACTCTTGTCTCGGCAACTGAACACTGCGGTTGATGCCACTTAGGGCGAGAAAAAGAAACAAGAAAGTAAAGCTACGTCTGTTTGTTTGACCGTTCTTCCCTTTTTTTTGCCTGTTCTCCGTCCACTTACGAGCGTCCTCCCTCGCGTCTCGCTGAACGTACGGGCCTCAATGTACCACTTGCACCGATTATACACGTTCGCTTGCTACCAATTTACTTCTGACGATGACACACGAGTGCATTTTATGTGTACGATCTGATAATGAGCTCGTGGCGGCATACTTTGCAGTCAGATATACAGGGTGTCCCAAAATAGCTTGGACTCCCGGAAATGAGGGGTTCCTGGGATGATTTGGAACAACTTTTTCCTTAGCGAAAATGTTGTCCCAGGCTTCCTTCACTAGATATTACGCAAAGTTTAGAAATAATTGTAACGTTGTCGGTATGCACTGTAAATTTGAATGAAACATTCTGCCGCATAGTATATAATGAATGAAGAGGCATTAAAGTATTGGTTAACAGACCACCCGTTATACGGACATCTGCAGGCGTTCAAATCGTTTTCGCTAAAGATTCCATTTGAATGTGGAAATACACAGTGGCACGTAATTTTCTGGTCCAAGCGGCTTCGCCTGTGCAGCGAAAGGTCTATAAAACCTGAATTCCCAGGGGTGATTCACAGGGTTACGTGGAATCGTAAAAGGGTGTTTCTATGCGAGGACAAACGTGCTGAAATGACGTACCTTTTGAGTCTCGAGTAAAACTTGGCAGAGATCGCGCGCGCACCTCGGGAAAACGGACATAAAGCAGCTGTATATTTTGGAATACTATAAAGGTCAAGTACAACCGTCGAGAACGATGTGCTAAAGAAAAATTAGATTCATAAAAATATGATTAAAAAGTTTACGGGGCACTTGTCCTCTATTCGTCGTAAAGGATCAGGCGCTATGGGACGTTTTGCCGGGAGGGTGGGAGAAGGGGGGATGCATCAAAAATTGCTTTTAACACGACGGGATCCTTAGTATTTACACGCATACCGTCTCCACGATTTCTATTCAAACGAGAACTTACAACTTCAAGGTGATATCGTCAAACGTTTGGGAACTGAAAGCTTGTGGATGATACTTTCATGCAGGTTTTCGATGTATTGTGGATTGCTCACTGTAAGTTACTTTCTTTCAAATTATGGTATTTATTGAAGCATTTGAACACGTTGACTACCACAGTATAAAAGGCCGTACGTAGCCAGACACGTTTTATTTCCTTTTTTAAGTCATAAATAATTTGACTTTGACTACTTTCATAGTTTATTATATCCAGATACAACGTCGAATCTTCATTATTAATATATCAAGTTGCATTCTTTATAGATACCTTTTACAATTGATTCAATGCATATACTAACTGTCAAACAGCAACGATAATAAATTTTTCTTACAAAATCAATAAATTACATTGCAAAATGAAATTATAGTATCTCTGAATTTCTTATACCATACTAGTAAGCCTTTCCAATTGCAAATAATCAGAGCTCTAGTATTACCTCGCAATAAATCATTTTTTCTTACAAAAACTATAAATTACACTACAAATTAAAATTAAACTATCTCTGAATTTCTTGTCTCATACTCGCAACCTTTCCCAATTACAAATAATCAGAGCGCTACTATCAGATTGCAATGAATATAAATTTATTCTTACAAAAAGTATAAATCAGACTGCGTAAAAAATTATACTATCCCTCAGTTTCTTGTCCTATACTCGTAACCCTTCCTAATTACAAATAATCAGAGCTCCAAAAATGATTGGACTGCGGGAGTAAAGAGTCCCCCCCCCCGCCCCTCGTTCCACTGGGAACAATAATACATCTAATGTACACACAATATCCTATCAAGCTGTGTGCACACGTTTCACACACATTTACTCTAGCCCAGAAAGACAAACAACCCCGGTGAAAGATTGAAGAAGCAGCCGCTGTTACGGGGCAGGGGCCAATAAATACTCCGTTACAAAAATGTCCACGGTGAAAAACGTGTTTGCCAGCGAGGCGGACGAGTAATTAGATGAGCGGAGTAGTTACCAGAAATCTGGATGAATGTTTACGTCAACTCGGAATCCGTTGGCACAAAGGGAACGAATTCAACCGATAAACGAGGGGTGAGAAAAGGGTGGAAAGGGGCTGACGAAGGGTTGCAGGGGCGCATAGACGATTGACCGACATGCCTACGAGTACGGGTAAACTTTGTCTCCTGACAAAAAGGTGGCGGGGTGGCTTGTATTGGATGAAACAACAGCAGCACAGGGGGATTGAGGAGGGACGGAGTGGGAGGGGAAAAAGTGTTCGCCAGAAAATGTGCGTCGCGACGACCGCCCGTCGAGAATGGCGACCGCTGTCGCCGCCACAGGCATCGCTACCAACCCCCATGACAACGACCATATTTTTCAAAGTGTCCCGCTTCGTATCCGGGATACCTTTGCGAGAGCAACTACCTACGGTGGTGTATATTGCGAGCGTGATAAAGGAGACCTATCCGTTTTTGCCGAAGGAGCGTGGAAATAAGCTTTTTCGAACGGTATTTCCAACCGTTACTTTTCCTGTTTTCCCTTTCATTGCATTGTATTTCGCTCAGCGGGGACCGTTTTTCTCGGCGGCGTGAATGTGTTAGGATTTAAGGAGAAAAACGTAGCGAGTGGAAAGAAAAACGTTTTTGAACCCTCCACCCCCCTGCGGGGAGAATATACGGAAATGAGGGGAGATAACCGAATGATTTTTCGACCGTTTAATTGTGATTTCTTCTATATAAATCCTTTGGGATCGTCTTATACAGTGCTGTTTACAAATTTTCAGTCGTAGGAAAAAGAATCTTAATTCATTGCTGTTGTAAGTGGAGGTGGGGTCAAGACGTGGACGGCAATCTAATTATGACGCTGTGTCCAGATCAGTGGCAAATGGCTAAAACGAAAAAGGAGGAATCAGGTAAAATCCGCGAGGAGAGCCGCAACGGATTTAGAGTTTCACCTCCGGGCGATGGATTATGCGAAGCATAAAGATTTTAACCAGAGAAAAGACATCGAATAACTTAAGAAGAGAAAAGCGTTGGTAGATTAGCGTCGCCTATTCTGTTTCATAAGTATATCTTGTTTATCCATTTGTGCCCGGGATAATTTAAACAACTATTCTTAATCGC